TGTGTATTCCAACTTGATTTGTTTATTATATTTATTTTATTTTATTTCAATGATTATCACATCTTCAATGTGTCAAAAGGAAAATGGCTGCCACTACAGCAATATACAGCAATGGCGGTTCGTACTTAATGTGAGTTAAGTACGTACACAGAAAAACAAAGTTTTTAAATTTAATAAGAGTTTTATTCATTTTTTTAAAATATATTTATTAAAATAAATAATATTAAGAATAAATAAATGCTTCAATAACATTGAAAATTCATTTAGTATTCGATTTTCTACCGAAGCAAATTCAATTTCATTTGGTTGATCGAAGTTACCAAATGTGTCAATGCATTTCAGGAGTAATGAGATTTGTTCATTGAGATTCAAAAGGGAATACGTTTGAAGTTTATCATTAGATTTCTACCGAAAAATTAAATGAATTTATTTTTTTCATGTGTATTTTTTACAATTTATTAGTCCAATGAATATATCATATTTTGAATTTATAAAATGTGGAAATTTAACAATTTATTAACACGGTCTTCCTAGCGTTCTCCAAATACTGTATTTAACGAAATTTAACCAGATTTAGAGATTACGAGAGATTACTTAAAATTCATGTGAGTTCGTAGTAATGACACTAGGTACACGTAGTCATGACACTAGGTACACGTAGTTACTCACAGTTCATGGCTTATATAAGATTCTACCATATTTTAACATATTATCTTATTATTAATAAGATCGCTATTTTATTAAAAAATTAATAAGATCCATCTTATTATTAATAAGATAATCTTATTAAAATATTAATAAGAAAATCTGATTTTATTAACCATTTTTCAAAAAAAATTGCGAAGAAAAGTTTCATACTAAAAACATATCAAATATCCTCAAACGACGAAATATTGAAGAAAAATGCATCTGACGATATTTGGTATGTTTTTAGTATACAACTTTTCTTCGCAATTTTTTTTTAAAAATGGTTAATAAAATCAGATTTTCTTATTAATATTTTAATAAGATTATCTTATTAATAATAAGATGGATCTTATTAACTTTTTAATAAAATAGCGATCTTATTATAAATAAGATAATATGTTAATAATATCGTAGAATCTTATTAATCTAATAATATGTTATGTTTGAGTTATTAGAAATTTTCCGATATTTTGGTTATTAACATATTAATAACATATCGAAAATGTAAATCTATAAATCGGACCACTTTTTGAAATTTCGATTTTCGCGAATTTTCGAGGTTTTTGACCAATAACTTGAAAAATGTCCAAAAGCATGCCCAGTTTTTTTTCTCGAAATAGTTGTTTGATCGGGGCAAGCTATCATTTGGTAAAGTGAAACCACCCTTTCCTGGGAAAAATCCTGGTTACGGCTCTGAAATCTGCCCATATTTATGCATTGTCTTTGCACATTTCTTATGGACACATACGCCTAAAAATTGGAGCTACCTTTATCTCGAAATGTAGCCGTATACAAAATGAGATCTCTGGTATATAAAGCTGAGCTATTTGCATACAGCTAGAAGTGAATGTTGTGGAGTAGGTGAACACGACCTACTCTAATGTACTCTGAAAGTAAAAACCAATATTTACGACTGCTAAACAAACAATTGCAAAATCACCAGAAATGATCACAAGAAACATTATGCACATTGCACACATATTCGACCGAGACTGGTCCGTTGTTCGAGGATTCTGAATTCGCATACATTAAATGCAAAAAAGCCAAAATTGCAGCCGAACGAATAAACATATTTTTAATTTCAGAGCTACCAAAAACGGAAGGTTGTACTTTTTGTCACATTTTAATTGTTTGTCACACATATAGGAAACTGTTGATATTAATTTGATTCGCAAAATCAGTATAATTAACAGCAATTTTGAATTATCCTTCACACTATGTTGCGTGCAACTCATCGCTTGACATATTGATAAAAGCTCTACATATCTGTATCCGTGTCAATGAAATATAAATATGATCACACACAATTACATTTTCGTTCAAATTTTTTTTTATTCTTTAAATTGTTTGTTTTTTCCATTCACATATGTGTTTGTACATTCATTAACGCCTAACGTATTTAGAAAGCTGATGATGGAGTTTTGTAGCTGTAGCCATCGTTGTCGTTGTAGCTAGCGGCTGGCTCTGGTTGGAATGACTGATTGGAAAGAAAGAAAATGTTGTTAATGACTTATAGTGTGCAAGATTCAAGATCAATGATATTCAACACTCACAGCTGGGGCAGCAATTGGTTGGCTCAATTGAGCAGAGAATTGTTGTGGTGGCAAATAGTTTTGGGTTGGTGCGGAGATTGGTTGGCTCAACTCAGCGCTGAAGCTTGGAGCGGAGTAGCTTGGAGCTGGGGCAGAGTAGCTTGGACCTGGAGCGGAGTAGCTTGGAGCTGGAGCAAAAAGGGGAGCTGGGGCTGGGGCTGAGAATTGCTGAGGTGGCAAGTAGCTTTGTGTTGGTGCAGAGATTGGTTGGCTCAATTCAGCGCTGAAGCTTGGAGCGGAGTAGCTTGGAGCTGGGGCGGAGTAGCTTGGACCTGGAGCGGAGTAGCTTTGAGCTGGAGCGGAGTAGCTTGGACCTGGAGCGGAGTAGCTTTGAACTGGAGCGGAGTAGCTTTGAGCTGGAGCGGAGTAGCTTGGAGCTGGGGCAAAAACGGGAGCTGGGGCTGGGGCAGAGAATTGCTGAGGTGGCAAGTAGCTTTGTGTTGGTGCAGAGATTGGTTGGCTCAATTGAGCGGAGAAGCTTGGTGCAGCATCGAACGATGGTTGTGGTTGATTTGGATAGTTGTATCCCAAGTGTGCAACATCAGCGCTGACAGCAGCAACGATAGCCAAAACTACGAAGAATTTCTGAAAACCACGTAAAAAATAAAAATTTGATTAGATCCATTTTCACTCACAAAAGCACTGTAGTTATTCTCATTATTATAGGCACGCTTCATTCACTTTCATACTCAGGCTTTTTGTCTGATATGAAAGAAAGAATTTCGATTTATTGAACAAACAAATTTCACTAATTGACAAAATAACTCTGTTAAATTTATAATTTGGCTTATTTGTCTCGCTAGAAGAAACGCTCACCATTTTTGCAAAAATGTTTTTGTTTGTCTCTTTCCAAGCACTTCACTTGAGCTGATGATGTGTTCGAATGATTTGACCGGTGACTCGCACCACCTTTTATACAAAAAAATATTCGAATGCGGCACCGAAAATTGTATCTAAAGCGAAACCGGTCCACCTATCTATCATCAAACCATCATTCATCTTGTTTGGCTGTTATTTCGATAAATGAAACAGATGACAAACCATAAAAAAATAGGTTTGGAGCACATTCCGAAAATTATGCGGATTTTCTTGAGCGATGGCGATATCATTATCGTTGACTTTGAATTTTGACATTACAAATTCACATATATGTCCCACCCGCTTGCCCCAATTTCTCGCCAATTTCTGTAAAACGTTAAAACCTAACAAATGATTTTGTGTTGTAACTTTATGGAAATGCGCATTTTTTATGAATATATTTTTCGAATAAAATAATCGAAATGAATCAAAATGGCCCAAAGATGAACGAAAATGGAAATTGACGATACCTTGAAATGCCTGAAAATTTAATGAAGATCAAAGAAACAAAAAAAACGGATTGATTTAATTTTAGAGGATATTCCTAGTATATTGTTATAACTTTTATTGATTTACTGTTCAGTGTCGGGGCACTTCCCAGTTCCAAAAAAAAAAATCAAGTTTGATGCGATTTTAATACATATAACTATAATATTCATATTTTTTTCCTTTGGTTATTTCTTTCCATCAATTCAGCTCACTTTCAACAGGTTTCGATGCGGATTTTTACATAAATTTGCGATCGTTTTGGCAAAAGTTTGCATAAAGTGAACAGATCGCATTTGGCCAAAATTGGCAATAGACCAAGATTATCTCAAGATTTTACGATCTTTCTTTTCATTAATGCAGCCGTAATGCATTTCGTCGACATTTCCATTTCGGAATATGGTTTCTATTGCATCACCAATATTAATTTACCATATAACGGTAATTTTAATTGATCCTGACTTTTTCTTTTTTTTAAATATTAACTATGTGCAGATTTATATCGTTCGCTTAAAATAAAATTTGGTTTATCTATCGCTTGCATTTTTCGCATTCATCAATGCATATACATTCACTCATCCAATGAGCCGGTCGCTTCGACTCACTATTGATGTTTCTTCATCAAAATTTATCGCACTAAATGCCAATTTATGGAATGAAACCAAAATTTAATTGATTTAATGTTTAATTTGGCAGCAGAATGAAATCATTTTTTAACGTGAAATATAGCCAAAAAAATCTAAACTGATTGCGAAATAGAAGATACAGTACGCCCCCGCAAATTAGAAACCCGAGAATTAGAAAACCTCAGAAATTAGAAATGAATTTCAGGTTTGAAAATTTGTATGGAAAATTTCTAATTTCCGGGGTTCATTTCTAATTTACGGGGTTTCCGAATCATTTAATTCAAGACAAAGGGAAATTTACTTCATTTTTAATGAAAAAACGTGATGAAAGTCTTTTCCATTTCGTTGAATAGCTATATTAGCAGATCAGCTTGAGATTTTCGACGTTTACCATGAAGTTGAAAATTAAGTCACGAAGTAATCTGTTCAATATTGTCTGCGTCAATCATCAATCATTATGCTAACGTTTTCTGTTTACTATCGTAAGATAGGTCATCATTTATTTCGGTTTGTTCCGAGGAGTAGTTTATCCAGTAACTAACAGACTTACTATATATTTATAATCACTATAATAACTGCTTATAAGCATGTATTTACACACAATACTTGATTGAACAGTGTTCAATATATTGTTTTCAATTAAGCAAATCATTCCCCCTATCAGTTTTTCATTTGATACACCGTTTTTGGATGAAATAGAAAAAACCTCAGAAATTAGAAAACTCCGCAAATTGGAAATGGTCTCGGGACATTTCATTTCTAATTTGCGGGGGCGTACTGTAGTACCAAATTGGTAAATATGTGATTCCTATTAAAGCATAATGTAGCCACTGTGTTGATGTTGATTACGCTATTCTGCTGAACAAAATGGAAAAAATGGGTAGCATCATACTTAAATCATAGATCAATGAGGGTTAAAATGGCCAATAGAACATCTAGGAGAACATAAAATGAACACATGTGTCCCAGCTGGTAGAATCTACCATAATAGAATCTGTCTTGTTTCTATATTTATATCAATGATCTATCATCTATCATCAGTATTTGGTAAACACTGTAGAGTCCTCTTATTTGCGGACGATAGCAAACTGATTATGAAAATCAGCAACAATAACAAACGATGCGCAGAAATTCCATGAAGAATTCAACAAACTGAATGAAATAAAAATGAAATTAAGCTCAAAGTGTAAAAAAAAATTAATGAATATAGTACTATCCTCACATTAAGCAGAAAATAAAATTAATTGACTCAATATTGATGACAATGGGCTTTTTATACAGTTGGATGTAGATTTGACGTCGATAGCCTGTTCTTATTGTTTAATTCATTCAAAAATAGTGTTGTTCGGTATTGTAATACGGTATCCATTTACGACCAATAGTAGAGAATTTATCGAGGGCGTTTACAATCTATTGTGATGATGGTGCTCAAAAATGGTCTAATACGAATAATAATTATATGGTGATTAGGTGACTATTGTGAGAGATGTCTTGACTTGAAACTTGGCACAATCTGTAACTCATATACATTTTCTTGTTGTGTATTCATCTATGCTATAGTAAATGGCAAGTTAAAGTCACAATATTCAAATGTGAAATTTTTATGGGATACAAACAGGTCAACTAGAAACACGAAATTGATTAAAATTAAGGACTTTATGCATAACTAGTCTTTTTGGACAAAAGTTAGGCATTTGAATGACAGCAAAATACAATATATAAATTGCAATGAAAGAATCAATTACATCAAAGCAATTAGAAATCGAGAATTATCGTAACAACAATGGTTTGTATTAGATTAATCATGTAATAAATAAGTAAATAAACAATAGCAAAATGTAGCCACTGTGTGAAATGAACACAAAGATTGCAAAGATTGCTTTGTTCTTGTTTATTGACAAACTTTAAGCTGCATTGATATGCATTAACAAAAGCACATATCGCTATTGATATTGCTATTATGCCTAAATTCGTGAAGAATTCGTCAATATATTCGACAATTACTGCTTCATTTAAGAGGTGAATCATTTTTGGTTGCGAAAAAAAATCGAATTCCTTGTTTACATGATCGACACCCTTGTGGAACATCATTGATTACTAGTTAGCCGTCAAGTTTGAGACTTCTTTTTACTGTTTTTTTTTTTTTAACATACTGTATTTGGAATTTTAAACGAAATTTGCCGGTTCAGTCAGTTAAATGGATGAACTATGACTGTCCAAGTGTCTGATGATTCAAATTCTAATCATGATATAAAAATCAAATTAGTAAACTGTTGCAATCACTACTCGCTCATGAATTTTATGGAGCAAATTAGTCAAAAAAAAAATGTCGAATCAAACCGGCGTAGTGACCTAAAGTAATCGAACTACGAAAATCTGGACCAATTCCATTTTTTACTGAAAAAAATAAAATAAAAATAAAACCTCAAATCGAAAGAATTAGTTCATAGTTTGTGGTAAATAAAACGCAAACAAATTGAATTTCATATATTATACAGCTTTATTTATGTATTTTCTTATCATTTTATCACGTACTATGACGATTAACCACAATGAAATTAAACGCTTCAACACTTAAAATATGCAAATGCATATTACACTTACATTTGGATTAACCATACTGCTAATCCAAAACAAAAACACATCAGAATAATTTCGAATCGGGGATAGTAAGGGAATTCTATAGCTATATATCGCCAATAGATGCGTGCTTGAACATTATCGAACATCACATGTTGAATTTTCTCGCAACAAACAAATTGAATCGATCCGAATCGAATCAAATCGAATCCATTCGTCTGTATCAAGCTAATCTAGCAACTGTTACGGTGTGATGGTGTGGACGGGTGTGTGACAATGATGAATGCTAAGCTAATTATGTATGTTCCATTTAAAATTAATTGTAATAAATTAAGATAAATATAGTTCGGGTCTTCGCTTTTGTCAAAATAAACAATCTTAAATATTACATCGACGAAATCATACTATCACTTGTTAGAATCGTGTTTGTGTGGTTTGTTGTATCCAATCCAAGTAGTGAGAAACTTTAACATAAACACCTGGGACGTTCACTTGGCCGCAGCCAATACCCCATGAAACAACGCCAACCAATTGCCAAGCGCCGTTTCGTTCGCAAACCATTGGACCGCCGCCATCACCTTTGCAAGCATCTTTGCCTTCTTCACCGCCAGCGCAAATGAAACCTGGATTCAATTGATATGTGTAACCGAGACGTGTATTACGCAATTGTTGTTCACATTGTTGATGTCCAATGATTGGGACATCGACTTCCTTCAAAATGTTCTGGTATTTGCCAAAGTCACCGAATGCATCTTTGCCTATTTAAGAGAAGAAGAAAAATCAAACACATAGCCAATTAGTTAAATTCACAGAAAAATGAACTTAGTTCTTTTGTTCAAATGACAATATTCTTACCCCATCCAGTGGTCCAGCATCGTTGACCAGAGAAATCGGAGTAACGGTCTGGCAAACAAGCGGGACTGATGTGTGGATTGTTTTGGAAATCAACGGGAACAGCTAATTTCAAAATGGCCAAATCATTGTCGAGTGTACCGGCATAATATTCAGGGTGAACATGAACTGATTGCACATCACGTTCAATGTATGGGAAGAATTCAACATCGTGGTTAACATCCCATTCGCCGAGACGCACACGAAGATCAAAGCCCGAGTAACTGCATTGAAAAAAGTGGAAAAAACCATGAAAATTAATTTTCAATTTCCAAATCAAGAAGATGAATTTAAAGAAAACTTACGTTTTAACGCAGTGAGCAGCTGTAAGAATGTTACTGCCATCGATCAAAGTACCTCCGCATACGTAGACCGATTCTTTAGGATCCTTCTTCAAAATGGCCACTTGCCATGGATATTCACCGAATTCACTGTCGCCATCCACGTACACTGGATTCTTGATACGACCGGTAATTCCGTTGGTATTTCTGCGACCACATTGTCCTGGCTGAGCAAATGATGGTTGACGAACTGGTCGACGGCAACAAACTTGTTGTGGTCCACATTGTTGAGGAATTGAATTGAATGATTGACGCTAAAATGCGCAAAAATTTATTCACAAAGAGAAAACAAAAACCAACAAATTAAAACTGTCTTTTTTGTTGCTAAGATTGAACAATTAACAGTGTTTTGAAATATCGAAATTGTGTGTAAATTAAAAGCTAATCAAATAAAGCAAGCGAATGTTGTGAATAGCAAAGAGTTTTGTGCATGAAAAAGGTAGAGGGAGAGAGAGAATAATAAATGTAAAAAAAAACTGAAATGTTTATCGAAAGCATAACCTGTGATGTGTTTTGTGTATGTTGATCGTTTTGAATGTCCGTATGGGGCGCACGTTTCGTATGCATTTTTGTTTATGACGTGTTTGTTTGTATGTGTGTTTGTGTGTGTGTGTGAAATGTCCGTTAAACGTTGTGTCAATGCAATGTCGTTCCTACTACTTGTTTTTCTTTCTTTTTTTTTCAATGATCTACCTGATTTTCTACCTGTATTATATTTTACCTTTTCGAGACGATTGGATTTTGGAGCGATTGTTTCTTTATTTGTTTCGATGTCGCTATTAGCGTTTCGTTTTCGTCGATTTTTGGGGAACGAAACACTTTGTGTAGCCGTACCTTGTTTTTGATTATTTTGCCCAAATTTCGCTTGTGCAATATTTTGTGATTGATATTGTTGTTGCTGCTGTTGTTGTTGGGCGAAATTTTGATTGTAATTGGCATAATTGTCTGCATAGGTTGCCTGACCAATGGCCGAAACATTTGCACTTCGGCCATAGTAAGTGTTTGGTTCGAATGTCGTTGCAAGACTTGAATCGATATTGTTTGTGCTGTGATAGGAATCGGGATAGTAGCCAGGGCTGCTAAATCCATAGTCATTCGCATATCCGGATGGATAGTATTCACCGGGACCACTTGTGAAACCGGGACCACTTGTGAAATGATGTGGTGGATGCTCAAAGTGTGGCCCGCTTTCGAAATGATGTGGAGGTCCTTCGAAATGCGATGGTGCCGTTTCATAGTGATGCGGATGATAGGATGGAGCTGGGTAATGAGTATGCGTATGGTAATGTTGATTGAACGATGACGCACCTCCGCCACCGAAACCGCCGAACTTTTTCTGTTTGAACAGGGCGCCCACTTTGTTGATAATATTTTCATTTGGCGTCACATGCAAATTCACCAATGGCTTGAATGTCTTTTCACCGTATTCGTTCTTCGCAAATTGGAATGATACCAACGGATTGACGTTAACTAAGCCAAGATTCAAACCATTCGGACTGATCGATCCAAAGTATGGATTTTGAGCTGGATAACCACCATTGATTGCGTTAAACGGATAGGCACCGGTTGGATATGGCAATCCAAATGAGACGCCAAATTGTGGTTCGACTTTTTTCTTCGTTAAACCAACGCCAACACCCCCAAGTCCACCAACGCCAATGCCAGCTGCTGAGCCACCAAGACCACCAAGACCAAACAGTCGCTAAAACGACGAAACCACATTACTTGGAGTTTTTGAATTTGTTTTGGATTTTTGAGTGAGTATTTAAGTTGCCCGCGTGTATTGCATAAATCAATGATAAAACAACCGAACAACCGGGAAATTCATGGAAAAATGAGCAAAGTAAATTCGATTAAATCGAAAATTGTTTGTTTTTTTGTTTCTAAACTGACAACGTGCGGTTATGTATATTATATACTGGATGCTACGAACGAAGAATGATCAGTGAAAAAATGCGATTACATACATACAATACATTTACTTAAGAACTGAGCGCAAAGAAACCGATAAGTGTTGCTTTTATCTATCCATACCAGCATGAGAAATGTGGATTTTAATTTGTTTTAAGAACGACATACAGAATTTTTGTTTTTTTGTTATTTAATTGGATTTGGGTTTTTAATGAATCGAAGATGGGCACAAATAAGGAGAAAAGTGGTTTTTATTGGATGTGGAAATGATTGCTGATTTTGTTTGTAGTTGTTTTTGTTGTTGCTGTCCTTGTTGGTTGACGCGATTTGTGGTTTGGCAGCGCAAATTTTACTTTCGAACGAAAAATAATAATCGATAATGTGCAGCATTGAAATATGGCGATTATTACGTACGAATTATACATAGTACATTCCGTGTGCTAAGCGATTTCAAATATAAATTTCTATATAAGAAAAATATAAAAACAGTTGGACTTTTGTTGGCTTTGGCATTGAATTGAACACAATTGAACACAAACACTGCGTTGATACGATGTTGAATATTTTCCCCATACCATCTCTCTTTTTTTTGTTCCATTTCGTTTGTCAACGCTCCAAATGAAGGAATAGGGGTTTTTTTTTCTTTCTTTTCAAAAACGAATCAACATGTCTACAACATCGCGCTATGTCTACAGTGAAAATGGATTAGTTGCTTTCAAGTGCCATTTTGAAAAAGATAGAAGGAGAAGCAATGAAAAAAAGAGAATTGTGTGCGGTTATTTTGTTGCATGCATTTTACTCATAATTTGTATGCCATGGAGGCTCACAAGCACAAATGCTTTTCCAGTGAAATAGATGTGTATATAGTTGAAAACCACCCGTTTGGAACAGTTAAAAAAAAATAAGAATACAAAAGCTCTTTTCCAACCAAACTACTAGAATATGTGTGTTAATCCATGCATTTGAAGAAGATGATGAAATGAAATGATTTCGTGCAAATTAGACATTGACCAAAATAAAATGTGTTGAAATACTTACAGCTTCACCGTCAGCTTTTTGCAATTCATCCGATTTCTGTCCGGCAACTTCACGTTTGGACACTTTTTTCACATCTTGTTTGGTTGTTTCGATTTCAACGGGTGTGTCGTCATCAGCTTCTTCATCGATGCTTGGTTCATTGGCTTCTTTTGGCACACGTTTCACGGTTGAATTTGACGTTGAGTTCGATTCTTCTGAGTAGGCTTCGATATCTGAGCCCAAATTACGTGGATCAAGTGGCAAAATCAAGTCACCTTTGCGACCCAAAATATCACGAGCTGGACACTGGTCGTATGGTACGCAAACACAATCAAAGTTATCTTGACGAGCCGATTCTTGGTAGTTTGAGCCAGCGCTGTAAATACCGCCATACGAAGATCCACCACCGTTGCCATATGAATTGAGTGAGTTGATGCCGCTACCACCCTTCAGAGCTTTCTTGTAGTAGTCTGGGTTGGATGAATGGAATGAACCACCACCGCCACCGAGCGAGTTAACACTTCCAAAGCCGGATGTGCCGAATCCAGATGCACCTGGACCTGAGCCATCATAGTTGCCAACACTTTCAAAAATTGGTTTACTTCCGCCGCCATATTGACCTGATGGATTAATGCCATTGAAACCGGATTGTTGTCCCTTGAATCCAGATTGATAGTTCGATGACAACGAGTTGAAACCGCCATTACCAGCTAATCCTCCGTGATATTCACCTTTTGGAAGAAGAAAAGCATTAGAAAAATTCTTTTCCAATACAAAAAAAAAATCATTCAAAAACTATCTAGTACCTGTAACTAACGGAGCTGATGGGACAGGAACTGGAATTGGATTGTTGACGATAACAGCTGGTGCTTTGGCACTGTCGTGTTGATCAAGGTGATGGTAATGATGATGAATATTAACCGAATTTGATGCGCTGCCGGTGATTCCGTCGTTGACTGCTGATTTAACTGGCACATGATGATCGCTATCCAATCCTAAAGCATGGAACTCTTCATTGGTAAGGATGTGTTCTCCGTTGTGTGAGTCGAATTTGTATGGTGGCGAATCGATGATTGGACCTGGCGGTTTGGAATGATACACGGGACTAGAGAAACCTGACGATGGTGATGAACCAATGAATTGTGGTGGTGAACTGTAAATGGGTCCATAGCCAACTTTGCGTGGTGGTCCAAATGTTTGTGGTTGCTTGACAAAGACTGGTGGCATTGGGCGTGGTGCTCCGTAAATAATTTTGGTTGGTGGTTTATTGAAGCCGCCATTTGGTGGTCCGCCACGGTATGGTCCATTTGATCCAATATGATAGGCACCGTTTGGTGGTGGTTGAGCATAGATCAATTCTCCTGGGCGCAAGAATGCATTTTTATGACCGATATCACTGCCACTGGCACCTTCACCTAGGCCATCGCATTGCATCAAACCCAATGTGCAGAGTTTGTCTTTGATAAGATTGCGTGCCTGTGAATCGTCACCCTTTTGAAGTGCATCCTGTACGGTTGGATCGCTGTAAACTTCATCGAAACCGTCCAAATTGCGACCTTGTCGATTTGATGCCAAAATTGATTCGATCAAATCATCAGCCGTATAGGGGGCCGTATCATTTTGACTATACTGTTGTTGTTGCTGCTGATGCTGCTGCTGCTGACTATACTGATTGTAGTTTTCATTCCCGCCGTTCGCTTCAATGTGATACTGGTGATTTACTTGGCTCGCTTGTTCCGAGTTCGTTGACCACGAAAATAATCGGGCCTGATCATCGACTGCATAGACCGCAGTCGTGGCCAATAAAAATACCCACACGGTATTCATAATCGGATTTGTATTATCTGTGGTTGTGGATGTAGCTATGGAAAAATCTGCAGAATTAACAAAAGAAAACAGACAAAAACACTTTAGACACAATTTTCAACCATAATGGCACTGGAAAAGAATATGCAAATAACCGTATGCGATAAAGAAAATGCAAAATATATTGTGTGCTCGGCTCGAAATCAACATTTTCATACACATATTGAATAAAATTGGTATTCGCATGATGTAATGCAACAGCGATTTAATATAGTTGTAGTTTTTTTTAAATTTATCACATCTACAGTGAACGAAAAGAAAATACAAACGAAAAAAAGCACACACACACACACACACCGAAGAAAAAAAAGAAAGTTCCTACTCTTTTTGCATCATTGAAAAGTAAAAGTAAAATGCACTTTAAAACTGTATTTCCACAAGAATATCACGATATAATTGAATTATATCAGTCATGGAGATCTCATCTGAACTCGTATGCAGTGTGGGTTGCGATTTGCAATTTGTTGTTGTTGTTGCCATTCAATTTTAGTTGGTTTCATTTGACCGAATTTCAAGTGATCATCTTATCATCGTAATGCCATTCAAATCAAAATTAGATGCAACCACCACCTACAATTTCGAATTGATCCCAAAGCTGCTGCTACCGACAATGACGACGATGGTCGTTTTGCAAAAAAAAACAACAACCTTTTTTCGCGTTTTCACTTTTTGTGCTCATTTCAATTCATTTGCAAAAAAAACGGTTAAAAATGGAGAGAAAAAAAAGTTTAAGACAAAAACAGACTGTAATTGCCATTTGTAACAGCTAAATTTGCAATTTCCTTTGCTGGAAGCCAAAACGCAAAATCGTTTGTATTGCAAAAGTGTTGTGCTGTGGCCACATTAAAGAGTGATCACATGAAAAATAAAACTGAATTTGGTACAAAATACAACGTGCAACGAGGGAGTGAGAGAGAGTGAAGCGAGAAACAAAAATTGTGACACAACAAATTCATTACGGTGTTTATTGTGTTGTAGTTTCTAATTATCTAATGGCCGGGGTAATAAAACGTCGAGTCAGTCTAAAAATAGCCAGAGTGCACATTAGCCAAATGGATGGACAACTTCCCGAAAGTGGAAAACGTTGTATTTTTATCACACACACACACACACCACAATTAGCGGCCTGATGCTTATTTTTCCATTGTTTTATTTTTATTCGGTTGTTTTTTTTTGGGTGAATGTGCTCGTGCCTGAGAAAGAAATACAAAAGGTGAAGAAGAAAACAAAAAAAAACGACTAAAAATGAAAGTAAAAGTGTGGGGCTGCATCACGATGCCGTCATCTTGATGCAAATAATAAATTCATGCAAGAAAGATCGGTTGGTGGAAATATGTCACACAAGCATGATGATGACGCATACTTTTAATCCCAATTATGTATATGTGCAGTTTTCGTTTTCTGTCAGTTTGCTCCATGAATAACAATGGCAGCAAAGGAAAAATAAAGCGACAACGAAATGACATCATAATCAGCAATCACTCAAGATAATTCGACATGGCAGAATACAGACATTGATATGATTGACACGGTAAATGGAAGTATTCATCATCATCTCGCTCAGCATCCCGAGCATTAACGTGACAAATGGAACCGAAGCGAAAAAGATCTCTTGCGAAAAGTGGTATCTCTTTTGTTGATTATCGCTTATGCCTCTTCTGGTGTTTTTACTGTTGTTTTTGTCGTCTTTGTCGACAATCGAGTGCATATGGCATCGGGCGGAAACAAGAGAAAGTGATTTGGTTGAGGTCTTTGTTTCACTGAGATCAGATTCAATGTTGAATAGGTTAGTTATGCCACAGCGAGTCGCACGTCTCACGAGTATGTGTAAACAAAACTCGCGCTATGGGTAAACACGTGTGCGAATGAAGAAATCGTGCGAACAACAAAATGCACGAATGAAATGCACGACGGAAACACAGAAAACGACTCGAGAACACTCGGTTCATTTCTTTTCCAAGGCTAGCCAGAGAGAAACACAACGAAATCATTATATGCCGCTATGATCATCATCATAATTGTTGGTTGGAGTTGATCATCCGAAACCATATGATAAACACACAGCTAGGTGTTAATTTATTTTTGCCCATCCTTTTATGTAACACACACTCGAAAATGTCATAATCGTTCGACTATCAAAACATAAACAAAAAACCAACGATTGCTTATTATGCAAGCGCGCGCTTTAAACGCGCACCGAATTAGAAATGAAAGAAATGGACAACGAATTGGAAATATTTTCGAAGCAAAATGGAAATGATTTAAATATCAGACAGTATTCACGTTAGACAATCAATCGGCTTCAGCAAATCAAAGCGATGATGACTAATTCGATTTTTGCTATCGTTTGATTGACCATTGAATAATATTGTTTTGATGGAAGGATAAATGTCGTTTTTTGTTTGAATAAATTTCGGATAAATGTTAAGCGCCACAGTATTTACTGAGCCGAAATTTCTGAACGGAGCAGACAATTTTCCGTGAACTCAGATGGAAAATGGTTTTTCACTTAGGATTTGTGTTTTCTTACATATATTCAACTCAATTAAAATGGCAAAGCTTGGATCATTGATAAATGATTCGATTGAACCTAAAGTGCACACTGTACGAACAAAACACTCTATGATTTTTGAATTTGATTCACTCACGAGAAAATTGATTGAAAAAAAAACAAACAAACAAACAAAAATCGTATTCTCACCGAACAGAACCAAAAATTGCTTTTTTTCGTTTGGAAAAAAAAATTCCGTCGTCTATTTACTTCCGTGAAAATGTGTAAAAAAGTCAACTGTCTTTTTGTCTAAGAGATATCCAACTGGCCGGGTATCTCACAAGAGACTGTATGTAAAACTACTGGCTGTACGTGCATTTATAGATTCCCACCCAAAACAAAACCAAAAAATCACAAAAAATGATCTTCAGCTGGAGGAACGAAAAAAGTAACAAAGAGAGACAAGACGAAAACATAAAAGTGTGCTTCATTTCACTGAAATTCACTGTTTTTGCATCTCTTCTTTGTCATCTTTGCCCCGTTGTTTGTGGCTGTTTTGCTCTCTTTCACGTGCACGTATTTTTGGACTGTGTGCGCGCCAGCGCGCACGCCCGTTTTTGTTTCTTAATTCACAGACGGCGACATAAACGGCGCGTAAAAAACACTTTCACTATCTTCGATCGTTGTTATTTTTTTTCTCTTCGTTTTTCATTTTGCTCTTGTGATGATGACGATGATTATTACAGTGGTGCTGTTGTTTCTTTGATCTTTGTTTCTTGATTGTGTAGTTACAAATTCAAATTTCATAGAGCCATGATCTTAGTGCCTGCACTATATTCGATGAATGCATTGTACTACTATATATCCAATACGTACCAATTGATTTCCGCTATACTAAGTCAATTGTTTGCTGCAACGTTAGATAAATCCACCGCAAAAATGTAGAAAACCTATTGTTTCACGTGTAAGACTTATAATCGACTGATATCAACCGAATTGACAACGGTTGGTTTTATACAATTTCGATATTGTGTGTATTTATCGCGGCGCAGAATGGCCAACGCTCTCAGAATGTGGCCCTACCATTTTTTTCACTCACACATTGCTTGTGGCTCGTTGCTCGTTGTACGCGCGTATGTGCTTTTTTCAAACTGTACCAGATTTTTGTGGGTTTTCCAACGTCTGTAAGGTTACACAATTTTGTTCGATTGACGTTTACGCTGCACATACTCACGATGCTCTCTCGCTCTCTGTGTGTGAGCGCCAGTGGTTTTGTTTCGTTTCGTTTCGATTCATTTGCGATTTCGGTTTCGACGATCCAAAGGAGAGACAAGAAAAAGTCTGTCAATGTCGGTGGAATAACCAGTCAAATATTGCCCAACCGTAAAAAGGTTTCGTTTAAATCATACATACAACATTCAAGCAAGCCCGTTTTTTTATTTCGACGCTCTCGTGATTCATGCCACCAAACAATTCAAAGGAATAGACGAATAGTTTTCTCGTGAGATTTGTCGCTTTTTATTATTTGTTTAGAAAAGCTCATTCGTTTTAAAAACACGCACATTTTTCGTGGAAATAACACCCAGCCATGCTAACCGGTACTAGCACACAATGCTAGCCCATACATAATAATTTATTTTCGGTGAATCAAGTCCAATGTAATTATTGGTTCGTGCGTTTGGAGCAACAACTCCAGTGCGGTGATTTTCCACGGAATCGTGATAATTCGGAAAATCAGCCAAAATTTTGACTAAAAAATGTTTTTTTTTCTGCTTTTCTCATTGGCTAATTCCGAATAAGCAAAGTGAAATTGTTATTCAGCCAGAAAATTCTCATTGAAGCACAAATGGTCATTGAACGCGCGCGTGTGTGTGTATGTGTTCGCTGCGCGAGGATCTCCATCATACAAATAACGGTCGTTTTATTCAAATTCACCAATTGTCTCTGCTCACAATTCAATTTTCGTATTTGGTCTATTTGTTATGCGCAAAAATGTGAAATTCGCACGCGAACGAATATCTTGTTTGATTTGTATTTTGTATCTTTGGATTGCAAATCGATTGGGCGTTACATCGATCTGTGTGGAGGTGCATCATCATCACCATAAGCAAGCAGTAGCACACAGGATAGTCCCAAATTCAACTAAAATGAAAGTTTCACGTAAAACGACAAAAATAAAAGACCAACATCTGCGAGAGCTACTTCCTCTGTTTTTGGTAGCAAAAAGCAGCCCATTGTTACCGAAATCGGAACATCGATCGGAAGACAAAGCAGAGCATTTGGTTTATAAAATGGCTCAATTTTGTTGTCGGTTATTATGCAATTCGGCATCTAATCAGAGTGAGAGTAAGAGTGAGAGAGAGAGAGAGAGATTCGTTAATTTCACTTTTTTCGCGATGGAATCAAGATAAATCAAGCCAACTTAATTGCCATAAAAATTTCTTCCGTTTTGGTTATGGTGATTTACCAGCGTCGACGCCAGTGCTGTTGTCGTAAAACGAATCGGGCAGAAGTTTACGCATTACATGCGTGAACTAAGTGTAAATACGGAGCAAATTTTTTGCACTGTACCATGGAAAATCTATGACAATGTAGACTATATACAAATACACCGAAATTAGATTAATCTAAAAAAAATAATAATTAAGTAATCGCTTTAATGACGACGACGCCACCACCACCGACGATGATCTCCATTTGCGATAACTTTTTTCCCTTTATTGGCTCAATTAATATCTTTCTTCGTGAAATTTCACCTTTTACCATTGGCTTAACGCATTGTTCCCACAAAACCAAAAATAGCGTTACAGATTGCTATCTGCGTCTGCTCTATCGATGATAATTGCTAATTGTTACCTCATTTCGGTTGAATGTTCTCTTTACGTTCCGCACACAAATTATTTTATTCATTTCCATTCCATAATTATCGGTTGCGTGTGTCTATTAAAATTGTGCATTTAGCTCATTCGTTGCATACATCTTTATTATTCACCGGCCGAAACTCACGAAATAAACAAACGAACAAATTCACATTGATTTTTAATATAAATGTTTGTTTCATTGTTCGCACCGCAGCACGGCGTTGCTTGTGTGTATACAATTCAATTTTCGTTTTTCTTTGTCGAATTCTTGTCTTCGTCATTCCATTCGGCGTATAAGCATAAGTAAATTTGCTTGGGCCGAGCCTTGGGGTTTTCCTAAAGTAATGGAAACCACGACGTGATAAAGTGTTTGTTCGACGATTCGGCTTTTGATTCGCTTAAAAAATTACTTGTACTTTTCATTCAGGCACACTTCACTCGATTACATAATTCAGAATTAGAGAGAGAGAGAGAGAAATTTGTATGCGATTATGGCAACGGTATTCACGTTATTATTGACCCAAATCTGAAAACGGAAAACCATTGAAATGTTGGAAATTCCCAAATAATTTGTAGAGTTTGTTGAAATTCATTTGCCTCGCTTCGTTTAAGATTTTTCATTGCTGGGATTTCCTCAATATCACACCAATAGATTATTTACCTTAAATAGAATTGGCCCTTTTATCGCATTTCTCTGTTTCAGCTTCGAATCTCTTGAGCTCTTGCCGATTGTAACGAATCATCGATATAAACTCGAATTGTAAGAAAAATAATTTTCATGGTTTACCGTTGCGTTTGCGACGCACTCTTTGCGCAATGCTGGAAAATGGGTAGGGCAATAACGACGTCCACGCAAAGTGAACTTTGAAAGTAAATGCTGTGTGAAGTAACTTCCGGTCGGGAAAATACGCGTCTATTATTTTGATCGACAATTTCTTTTCATTTCTTTGTCTCGGCTCGTTGGCCAAACTCTGGGGTTCGCCATTCGATAAATAGGTTTTTTTTCGCGTAAATTGTTTCTATTTATATAAATTTTTAGATTACTTTTTGCTAAATCAGTGAAAGTGCCAAGAAAATAGTCGATATAAAATCAGACAGATAGAATGGCACTTTCCAATGCATCTAAGATGTGACGGCTATCCAATGAAATTTACCTTATAATTGCGCGCTCAGGCAATGGAAAATAAAGAACGAACGATCAAAAGGAAAGAAAAAGTCAATAAAAATGACTCATTTGGTGTGGCAAGAAGAGCTCAGTTAAAACATAAAATATCATAAGCGATGGAGAATGACACGCTTTCAGCGCTGAACTGCTTGAGTATCACCGCAATGAGTAAAAGTATGTACAAGTCATTGCGATATGAATTTCGTTTAAGTAACAAGTATAAGTTCCCTTACCATATACACAAAAACGAGTCAATAAGTCAAGGTTTTCATCATAGGTATAAGAGAAGAGAAAGAAACAGATCTCTCAACGCGCTTCACTCGCTGTCCATCCATCTGACGATGATACATTTCTTCGCAATCACTGCGGCAGTGATACAACAAAACAAGCAATACAAAAGCAACACAACTGCCATTGTTTGAAGTGATACAGTGAGCCTCACCGCAAATCAGATTCAACTGTACGTGGTCGTTTACCTTTTATGTTTTTACATAATGATTTATTCGTAAGAAAGCGACGGAAAAGATGAAAACAGAAGCGAGAGAGAAAAAAAACATCTAAACGATAGACATTGTCCGGTTCTGTGATCGCGAGAGAATCAAATTCGAATTTCTTTGACGCAACTTTAGTTGAGCAAATGGTCATAAAATCATTTGTTTCGAGATGGAATTGCGCAAACTATAATCATCGTCATCATGGTATTGATTCTTGGGAAGAAAATTCTTGATATAAATCTCGAAACGCAATACATTCATCATGAAGCCACTCTTTTCAATTCGTAAAAGAAGCCGGACCTAACCAAAGCGATTTCATCATTTGACTTGAGTCGCGTAAAAGATTCGTTGATTGACGATCTTTTTATGCTTTCTTTCCAATCCAAATTGCATACCATTCAATTGTTTTTATGTGCGCAGGTCGAGAACATTTCGAATGAATCGGGCTTATGTAAAAAAAAACGAAAACTATTAATAATAATGATTTCAAAATCCAGAGATGAGTCAAAGCATATAATAATGAAATTGAATGTGTTTGAAATCGATCAATTGTGTGCGTTTTTTTTTCTGTCTGTGAGCGATTATAAAACGGATCCTTAGGAAATTGATGGTCTATTTGTATTATCCGCATTCGGACGTGTCGCATACAAGAAATATGAATTTAAATAGACAAGATTGCGACAACGAAAACCATTTGCAATCGACAACACGATGACTCATTCAAATCGCTTCAACGGGTGTGTTGTGTTTGGTCGATCACGACATTGTTTCTGATACATTTCGTTCGCAATGTGTAATGCTGCTTGTGAATGGACGACGCGTACTAAGAAACTTTGCATAA